GCTTCTGTGTATGATGATCCTCACAAAATAGTTACAGCAGATGAGGATTTTTTTTTTTCATCAGGCAGGGAGAAGCAGCAGTAGCAGCAAGCTGCAGTCATAAAAACCCAGAGCTTGCAGCAGGCCATCAGTCAACTTGCTGTCTTGCTTTGAACCAATTAAAGATCAGTTGAGGTTTATCAGACCATGTAAAGAGAGGCCCGTATCGTTCGCAAAGGGCACCTTGCTCAGACACATAAAGTCCTGGATAGATTAGTGCCTCTTCAAGATTGGCACAAACGAGCTTCCTTTGCTCAGGAATATGAGAAAATGCTAAGAGTTGCAAGGAAGTGTGATAGAAATAACAGCCTCCGTTTAATGATGGCAATTGGGGCTGAGAATCGCATCGCCAAATGACGCAGTCATAAAACGCAATGCCACAGCACCGGGCCAACTTGCAGCAGCAACAGTTCTGGCTGTTGCGATTGTGGTTGTTAAGCCCAACGTCACTGTAATGGTAATTTGCAACCTCCTGCCAGCTTCCTCACTACCTTCGCTCCTTAGAAGTCAGCAATGTAAGACACCAAAGGCGGATTGTGGGTCTGTGGGATCCTGTGACCACTGTTATTGCACGCTGATGGTGTCAAGTGCCCAAATCATCCCGGGGACACTGCAATGGTCACAACTTTGAGGACTGGCTGCAAGTCTCCTCTTTCGACACTGTTGTAACTTTGAACGGTCGCTGAATAAACGATTTAACGGATGATTACCTGCAGTTGAATGTCATTTGTGGGCAGGGGGATAAATGCAGGAGAGAATGCATGAGCTTTTAATATTTTACAAGACAAGTCAATTGGGGAAGCCTATGGAGACTCAGGCACCATATAGGTTTTATCATCACTGGCCATGCCTGTGGGGAGTCTTTCCAACAATCTCCAGTGTCCTCTTGTAAAGCCAAACTCTTGTAGCTTTCTTCCATCTCCCTCCAGTCCTGGTACTTTCTATTACTCCTCACTGCAGGGAAATCTCACAGTCCCCCTTCTCTATTAGAGAAGCCACTATACAGGTAGTCCTAGACTTACGACCAGAATTGAGCCCAAAATTTATGCTGCTAAGTGAGATAGTGGTTAAGTGAGTTTGGCTCCACTTTATGACCTTTCTTGCCAGTTATTAAGTGAATCACCGCAGTTAAGTTAGTACCCCCATTTCCCTGAAAATAAGACCTAACAGGAAAATAAGTCCTAGCATGATTTTTCAGGATGCTCGTAATTTAAGCCCTACCCCCAAAATAAGCCCAGTTAAGATTGACAGCCAGATGGGTGCATTTAGTTCCATATTTTCCCCAAAATAAGACCTAACAAGAAAATAAGCCCTAATGCATCTTTTGTAGCAAAAAATAATATAAGACCCAGTCTTATTTTGGGGAAAACACGATAATACGCTCATGAAGTGAATCCAGCTTCCTTATTGACTTTGTTTGTCAGAAGGTCGCAAAAGGAGATAATATGATCCTGAGACACTGCAACTATGGTAAATTATGTGCAGTTGCCAAGCATCTGAATTTTGATCTTGTGGCCATGGGGATGTTTCAAAGGACAGAAGTGTGGAAAATGGTCATAAGTCATTTTTAGGACATTGTAACTTCAAATGGTCACTAAGTGAACTGCTGAATGTTCAGAACTGTCTGTACTATCCGGCTATGTTGCTATTCATTCAAAATTGGGGAAATAGCTCTATGGTTATTCTGAATCTCAAAAACAGTGGCAGTTATGGTGGACAGAGCCTTCTTTACAACAAGCTCCTGGTTAAACTGACCCCTAACAGTACTGCACTATTTCCCAAGGATAGGAAGAACAGAACATGCCTCATTCCAGCTCTCCCCCCGCCCCCAAATAAGGTCAAGCTACAACCGGAGGCTACTAAATCAACACAGCTGCTCTCCAAACTCAAGTCCCAAAAGCCAACTTTTGCAGAGAGGGACTTGCAAAGAAGTTACATATATGTGTAACACAAAGAACAGATAGACATGTATACTACTTACATTACCAAACTTAGCAAACTATGCTTTCAGAATACCTGGCCAATCAGATATTGTAGCACAGCCATGGTGGAAAAATCTGTTAGCACCTTTTCCAATTCACAACTCCTATGATTCCTTCAATTCCGACTCCTGAATTTTTTGGGCAATTCAAGTGAGCTATGTCACACAAAATGTTTCTGAAAATAGAATGTCAGAAACCTGTGTGTTTAACTTCTGGATGCCAATACAAGAACCTCGGAGAGAATCCAACCCATTGCTTGGAAACTATTGCTACAAAGAATAACTCAGCAATGTAAAGCATGCAGCTAAAGCAAACACCACAGTTTGAGTTTTTAGTCTGCCATGGAAAGCAATTCCTAGACAGGAGACCTTCATCCAGCTCAGGCCCCACTGCAGATTTCACCTATCTGGCGGAAGTAAACAATGTTCTTATCATCACAAGATTAAACAGTGCAATTTACATAGGCTGCCCTTGGAGAAAAATTCAGAAACTGCAATAAATGCAAATCACTACAGCATGCATGCGGGTGAGTAGTACTACCGCAAGGATATCGTCTTTTGGGCACAGCACCTGCTTCCCATAGTTTTCCAGTGATGATTTAGTCTAAAAAGCCTTTTATTGTTTGCTTACTTCACATTTTAGGATTGCCTCCTCCAAACTGCCCTATCCAGAGCATTTCATTCAGGATAGGTCTATTCACCCATCTCCTATGGATTTAAAAGGGCTGGTAGCCCTGTTCTGACCGAGGCTTCCCAAGAGCATGAAGCCAACTCCTTGTCCCGACAAAAACCCCATTTTATTAATTTACTGTGAATTCTGCTCATTCACCTCCAGCAAAGTCTTTCAAGGGAGGATTTACAGTCACAGACCTTATCTGACTTGGAGAGCAGACAGGCTGCAAAACCTGGCAAGGAGTCTTTGAGAGACACCAATTAAGCAAACTACTTGTCTCCTGCAAACTCCACTCCCCTTTCCCTCCCCTTTTATTTCCTCTGGGAGGAGCCATTCATCATCCACCTGTGGCCCTACTCCCAAGCCGACTCCTGTTCTTTAGCTGTTCCCTTCATCTGGCAAGTCTGCGCATGTGCACACTGGGAACAGGCTCCAGCTGTTCTTCTGCCTCACTGATGTCTGACTCTGAAGGCAGCTGATAACTGGCATACGGCCCTGGCCCCCTCTCTGCCTCTGACACAGAGCCCTCATCAGAGCCTTCCCCAGACTCCAGGACTGGCCCATATTCCTCCCCAACCTCCTCATTCTCCGAATCTGCTGCCAGCTCTTCTGGCAGGCCGCAACAAGCCCTGAGATAGGGACTTTTTAGAGTAGCCACCACACTATAGAAGGACCTGCTCTGAGAGACCCAGCTCTGCAAACTTTTGGAAGACCCTGTACAGGCAGTCCTCGACTTACAAAAGTTCATTTAGTGACCGTTCAAAGTTACAACAGCACTAAAAAAAAGTGACATCATCATTTTCACCCTACTGTTGCAGCATCCCCATAGTCATGTGATCAAAATGTGGGTGCTTGGCAACTGATTCATATTTATGACAGTTGCAGTCTCCCTGGGTCATGTGATCCTCTTTTGCAACCTTCTGACATGCAAAGTGAATGGGGAAGCCAGGTTCACTGGACAACTGCATTACTAACTTAACCTGCGGTGGAAATTCACTTCAACTGTGGCAAGAAAGGTTGTAAAATGGGGCAAAATCCACTTAACAAATGTTTCACTTACCAACAGACATTTTGGGCTCAATTGTGGTCATAAATCAAGGATTATCTGTAAAACCAAAGTCTGCTGGGAAGTCTCTGGATTATAATTTCCTAGTACATAGGTTAAGACTGAGATTTATGCTATTAACCTTATGTTTGAATTGGATGTATTGTGTTTTTAGGTTCATTTGTACGATTTATAGTTACGAGTAAGTTCAACAAGCCCGTCATAAAACTAATAAATCAAGTGCAATAAAAAGCAATAATTTTAAAACAATGTAAAATTCCGCTGGTTTGATATGCTAAACAAATGCACGTTTTCAGTCCTCTCATTTCCTTGTGTTGTTTCTGGTTATCACTGGAAAAGCTAGAATTTGTTTATTCAGGATGTATCAAATAGATAGCATTGGAAAGTAAATCTGGAAAAAGTTGTGGGCAATCACTCTTCCAAGACTCCTGGTTCAGAAAAGTTAGCCTACATTTGTAATAATAAAATACTGCTTTTTTTAAAAAAAAGAGATAAACATAGCAACAGGAAAAAACATTTCTATTTTCAAATTTTAATTTGGAACATGGATAACCTCATATGTAAACTTGAGCAGCATTACAGAACTGCATGCACTGCAACACAAGGGAGATGCAGCATGTAGAGCCAGTATGGTGTAGTAGTTAAGATACTGGCCTAGAATCCAGGGCGCGGTGAGTTCTAGTCTCGCTTTAGGCATGAAAGCGAGCTGGGTAATCTTAGGCCAGTCACTTTCTCTCAGTCTTACCCACCTCAGAAGGGGGTTGTTGTTGTTGTGAAAACAGGAGGAGAAGGGGGGGATTATACATATTTGCCACCTAGAGTTATTTATAAAAAATTAGGTGGAATAAATATCAAGAGTAAATAAATTAAATATTTAACTATATTTGGAATGCTAGTCAATAATGTCCTGGCATCCCTTTCTTAATCATAATATTTTCTAATTTTAGAGACTCAGAAGATATCACTGATAGATGTTAATATTTAACATCACTCAGAAATCTTTCTGAACAAAAAATAATAATCTAAAAACAGCCACCACAAACTAAAAATTGCTTCCACCCTCCCCCTACCTTTAATAGCTATTTCATAGAACTCCCCATTGAAAATCTATATAATGTTCTCTGGCAGCAGCTTTTTCTCTCCTTCACATTTCACGTTTGCAGGTACCAATGTTACTTTGCAAATATAACATGTTAAGAAATCCTCAGCAAGTTATTTGTTAAGTACATGCAAACACTTACTTTTTAACATTAGCTTCTCCATTGGGGATCCGTCGCAGCTTCTTCTTCTTAAGGATTTTGACAGCTCTCCTACAGAGAGTTTCAGAGTCCAGCATCTCTTTGACCTTGCCATAAGACCCTTCCCCAAGCAAGTCCCCCATCAGATATTTGCCTATGAGTTTGGCCCTTTTCCGCCGCGGCTGGTAGATCACTTCTGTAGAGTCAATTCGGTGGATGAACGTGTCCATGCCCACTGACATCAATTCACCTTCCACAAACATGCCCAACTGCTGAGACTCCTCTAGATCCATCTTGTTGTTTTTCCCTAAGCAAAAATGTGTTATAAATCCAGTTCCTGATGTATCCAATACTTTTTTTGTGTCCAAAATCTTTGAGTGGAAAAAAAAAAAGTTTCGGTGGAGGCAAGTAAGAATTTTCCAAACGACTGTACAGTTTTAACTTAAAATGAAAAATAAAAACCTATGAGAACTTTTCCATCAACTTAGAGGGATCCTACAGAGATCCAGCACCACATTCCAACTTACAGTGCCTCTTTTAAAAGAGAGTGGGGGAGGGGAGAGAGAAATCAATGCAGCTCAATTTACACTTAGCTTTAACTTTTTGATCTTATCCTGCTACTCCAAGTATCTGAAATCAGTTTGTCTTCCTTAGTTAAGTCCAAACTTTTTTTCCCCTTGAGACCTAAGTCATCTTCAAAAGACTGTCCACGTTTGAAATAAAAACAACAGACTTGCTATTTTTTAGGGGTGTGCCATTGCTGAGCAAGAAACGACAGCTCTTGTTTCCAAAGTGTGATGTGGAAAATCCGAGACGCAACTTCTGCTCTCGCCACCCAGGTACAACTTGCGTGAAGGATCCTTTCAGCCGTTGGGAAGCTGAAACCAAGTCTCTTTAGAGGAATTTTCAATACTGATTTTAACTGCTTCTTTTTCACCCTTGACAAAGGTTCGAGGCCTTCTGTATCTAGTAAGGGGCATCCTTCAACCACCTGGGGTCTACCTGACACATGATGTGTCCACCCCACTGTTTCAGATATCAAGGCAGGCAGTGCAAACCTTACTCAGTTTTCCCAGTACTACGGACCCACCATAAACGGGGCTGGATGTGATTAAGATATCTTCAACAACACTTCTTCAGATTAAGTAAGTTCCCTGGAAAAGGGAAAGAACTTTTAAGTTTTTTTTTCTAATTTGGCAAAAATCTATACTTTAAACCATCAACTCAGAAATCCAACTTCAGTAAGCACACTTCAAATTATTTATTAATATCTAGTTCTGGCCTTTCTTGCTATTGGAAATAATAAGCTTCCCTCTGTCACACACACAAACTTTTTAAGCTAAATATTAAAAAATGCCCTCAATAGGCCCAAGTGTCAAGGAAGGCTATTCCTAGGTAACAATAAAAAGAAATCAGCTCCTACTCTTAACTAGATTATTCCCATAAATTCAGAAAGCAAGGCACATGTCAAATATGTGAGGAAAATATAAGTAAATTGACCCTATGTTCCTTTCTTGAATAAGGCTTTTTTTCAGTGTCGCTACCACCCGCCAATCGGATCAATATTAATATTAAAAGATGCCCTTAAACAGGGCTTACCTTTCCCCAAGATTAAGGCGGCGAGACATCTCTTTTTGCCATAACCCAGCTTAGCAGGAAATATAACTGCCCTCTAAAAAAAACACAATTCAATTAATGACTCTCTTTACAATTAGGTGGATGCCGTGGAAATCAGCAGCGCAAAAGTTCCTTACATCTAAAGTGCACACTTAGCTCTAAAGATCTCTTCCAAAGGAGAATGCCCGCTTTGTTTAAAAAATAAAATCTTGAGAAAATGTATAATACTTTTTTATCTGCCTGCAAGAGAGAGGGTCCACTGAAGGACTTCTAAAAACTAAACATGTAAAAGTAACAATTTGGGGAGGTTTTTCTCTCTCTCTCCAAATGATGGCTCATTGCTATCCATCCCATTCAGAAAGCAAGCAAGGAAGGAAGGGTATTTTTTTTCTTAATACTTTTCTATTTCCAGGGAAACGTTTGTCTCATTCAAGAAAGGGTCATTATTAATAGGCATCTCCCACAAAAAAGGCGGATAAGTGCAAATTTCCTTCCTTCCCTGCACGTACCCAGTAGCTACAAGATATGAAATTTGGAGGGCAATTGAAAATATTTCTTTCCTAAGAAGGGTCTCTTTTCCCTCAAATTAAGGGGGCTCAACTCACAGACCACAACCCCCCCTCTTTTCCCTCTTAGGCTTCCACCTCTCCCCTCAGCACACACACATATACACACCGCCCACCTTTCCCAAATAAAACCCTCTCGACCTCCCTGTCACTCCCTCGCCTCACGAAGTCACGACAGGGACTGGCTTCTCCCCAATGTGGGGGGTGGTCTTCCCTAAGACTCCCCCCTCACTTCAAGAAAGGAAGGCCGCGACGTCTCACTCATCTGAGAGACAGGCAAGACAAGGCAGGCAGACCCGGGAAAAGGAAGCCGCTCCTCTCGTATGCTTCCCTCCAACCGAGCTTACGGAGGGAAAGGGGTCGCCTCCCCACCTAGGTGCAGCGTTGGGGGGCGCTGTTTGCTCCCCTTCCTCCCCCAACGTCCAACCAACGTCGCCCTCTCCTTGCCTTCCTGCCGCCGCAGCTAACACGCCGCCGCCATTTTGCTTACCTCCCCCCCCTCTTGCCCCCCGCGCCCTCATTGACGCTCAACTGGCTCCTCCCTCGCGCATGCGCGCGCGACATTTAAAAAAAAAGGAGGAGCGGCGGCCGCCAGAAGGCGACGAGGTCCCCCCTCCTCCCTTCCCCGCCCGTTCTTTCCCCCTCCCTTGCCTTCGGCTCTTCGCTTCTCTGATTGGCTCGAAGGGTCCTCTGAGGCGGGTCCGGAGGAGAGGGCGGTGACTGGAAGAGGGCGGGGTTTGAGCGAGGGAGGCGGAGCGGAGGGGAATACCGGTCGGGAGGTGGGGTTGGAATGCAGCAATGGAGGGGTTGTCATGGCGACGGAGGAGGCCGCTGCGCCGGAGTTGCCTTCTCCAACCTTGTGCCCTCTGGATTAATCCTGTGGCCAGTAAGATTAGCAATCTGGGGGCTGGACGATCAACTTGTGTGGATGGCAGTGTCAGAAAGAAAGGAGGGCTGTGTTCACACTATTAGTTGAACCACAGTTGATCAAACTAGCCATACTGCCACTTCTTACAATACTAGACAACACAATATCAACAGTAGAGACCTTCAGGTTTCTAGGTTTCTGGATCGGGATGCTCTGTGCACAGTCACTCATGCCCTGTCCTTTCTCGCCTGGACTACTGTAACGCTCTCTACATGGGGCTGCCCTTGAAGAGCATCTGGAGGCTTCAACTGGTCCAGAATGCAGCTGCACAGGTGATCATGGGGGCATCTAGGTGCTCCCATGTTACACCCCTTTTAGGCGGCCTGCACTGGTTGCCGGTTGTCTTGCGCAGGGGTGGGTTTCAACCGGTTCGCGGCGGTCCCTGCGAACCGGTTGGTCGCCGAACCCGGAAGTAAGTAACTTCCAGGAACGGCGCCCGCCCGCGGTCCTTACCCGGTTTTGACGAGTTCTGCACTTCCACGCATGTGCAGGACACATACAGCGCCTGCGCGATCGTCCNTCATTTTACCCACCTCGGAAGGATGGAAGGCTGAGTCAACCCTGAGCCGGTGAGATTTGAACAGCCGAACTGCTGATAGCAGTCAGCTGAAGTGGCCTGCAGTACTGCACTCTAACCACTGCGCCACCTCGGCTCTCAATGATGTGTGGTTTGATTGGCCAGTACCTGCCTGTCTGAATCTGGAAATCACACAGGAGCCTAGCCCTGTTATTCTCCATGATCTTCGGTGGAATCTCCTATCGGGCTTGGGAGGGTCTAGCCCAAGGGGTATCAAATGCGATTTCATTGAAGGCCGCATCAAGGTTGTGTTTGACGTTGGGCGGCCGGGGTGGGTGTGGCCAGCTCAACATCACTCATGTCAGGGGCGCCTTTGGTGGCCCGAGTGTGCCAACGAAAACGGGCTCCCAAGCTCCATTTTTGGTTACAACGGCCTCCTGTAACCCTCTGCCAGCGAAAATGGAGCTTGGGAGGACCACCCTGCTGAGTTCTGTTTTCACTGGCACTGTGGGCCAGTCCTTCGCCATTTCCAGGGTGGCCCTGTGGGCCAGATCTACGGTAAGCACCCTGCGGGCCAGATCCGGCTCCCTGGCCTTGAGTTTGTCACCCCTGGTCTAGCCCATACACTGTGCAGATGTTCCTGTTATACAATGCCAGCTACTTGGTTCTGCTGTTCAGTATATGCTGTTCCTGCCATTGTGCATTGGATTGAAATCTCTCTGCACTGTCTGCACCTTGTCTGCTGCCTTGTGTGGTAGAACCCTGCTTCGGGGGATCTATTGGTTGCAGGGAAACATACATAACTGAGAAACAGGTAGGTTTCATTGTTACTCTACTGCTGCAAATACATATCGAGCGTTGATAGGCAGGGAGCCTCCTCCAGAGGTGGGTTCCTACTGGTTTGGACCGATGTGGCCAAACCAGTAGTAACTTGGTGGCCTGGGTTGCTGGAACAGGCAGTGACCCATGCCTGCCAAGCCCCCGAACCAGTTTTCCCAGGAGGGCGCCATCTTGTTTTTTGGTGCTGCGCATGCGCAGAACAATGTTCAGTGAAATAATTTATATTTTTCCCATTTTTTAAGGTTTTGCACATGCACAGACTTTTTTATTTGCAAATGCGCACGCACGTGAATTGCGCATCTGGCGTGCAAGTTAAGCGAGCATGCAAAATTTTTGAGGCACCAAACCGGCAGTAATGCTGGCAGAAACTCACCCCTGGTCTCCTCCCCTCCCTCCTTGTGCAAGTTTCTCCAGATCTTAAATCAGGTTCTTTTAACATTTTGCTAGCCGGAGATTTGCTGTAGTGGTCCCAGGATAGGATCTTAAGCTGAATCAGGCTCAGTGACTCTCTAGAGCAGTGTTTCTCAACCTTGGCAACTTGAAGATGTCTGGACTTCAAGTTGCCAAGGTTGAGAAACACTGCTCTAGAGAGTCACTGAGCCTGATTCAGCTTAAGATCCTATCCTGGGACCACTACAGCAAATCTCTGGCTAGCAAAATGTTAAAAGAACCTGATTTAAGATCTGGAGAAACTTGCACAAGGAGGGAGGGGAGGAGACCAGGGGTGAGTTTCTGCCAGCATTACTGNCCTCTCTCCTCCTCCTCTCTCTCTCTCTCCTCCTCTCTCTCTTTCTCCCTTCCTCCCTCTCTCCTCCTCCTCTCTCTCTCTCTCCTCCTCTCTCTCTTTCTCCCTTCCTCCCTCTCTCCTCCTCCTCTCTCTCTCTCTCCTCCTCTCTCTCTTTCTCCCTTCCTCCCTCTCTCTCCCCCTCTCACATACACACACACTAATGGAACTCACAGAATAAACATGATAACTCCGACAGCCCAGCAGTCTACAGGACGTCCATAGCGTTGCCGAGCAACCACTTCAGGAGCTGGGAGGGCAGACAAATGGATCAAAGACAACTATAGAAAATGTGAGCAAGATATATCCCGCGCAGCAAGAGATAGATGCTACGTTTGCTATTTTCACATTTCCCAGGAGAACTCTGTCGATACACAAAAAGCAGAAATTTAAGAGCTGAGCTTTTCTGTCTTATGGAGACGGCAACTCCACTTGTTGAATCTTTGCCTCTGCAGTTCTTTTTTTTTTTTTTTCAGGACAGTTTGCAACTGGACGGGGCTCCTAGTTTTCAGCCCAGTTATTGCAATGTAGCAGAGAGAAAGTATCCCATGTTCTGAGATATTTCTTCTTCTGTCCGAAGGCAAGTACGTACCTAAGTATTCAGGGGTCCCACATGGGTCTGTGATGGCACCATTCTCAAAGCGTGAGAGATAGAAATCCCGCAGAACCACTTTTGAGCGGTTATTCTGGTTGTAGTACATAAGATTCTCCAGCTAAAAAAAAAGAGCTCCAAGTTAGCACTCTTCCTTGCACTCCCCTTCACAACAGGGAGCCCCCCCCCAAAAAAATTCATGAAAATATGAGCCCCTGTCTTCCAATGCTAAAAACGCAGCTATCCCACATCAAACCACTAGAGGGGGGTAGTTGCTCTGAAAAATTCGGTGTTCGCATTCCATGCTGTTCCTTTACCTTTAGATTGCGGTGAACAATGTGCAGATTATGTAAATAAGCTAATGCCTCCAGCACTTGCCGCACAACATTGCTGGCATCCTTTTCGGTGTAGTAGCCCTGGTCTAGGATCCAGTCAAAAACATCGCCGCCAGTAGCCCTGTAGGGAATACCACAGACAGCTTGACAAGTGGAAATGAGTAGATCCCAGATGGCCACTCAGTGGCACACAAAAAAAAATACAGGAAAGGCTCATCCTTTGCTACCATCTACTGGTCCTCTGGACACCTGCAGCAAAGCTGTAGTATGCTTCAGCAATAGGCAAAGGCATAGCACATACCATGCCAGGGTAGAGCCTGACATATGCAAAGTCTCTCTCTGTTCAGAATGCTAAACAGGAGCAATCTGAAGGCGGGATGAATCACACTTGGACTGGGCTATTCATCCACTAAGCCAAAGCTTGCTTAACTATCATCTACTATAAAAAAAAAATACTTGGCTGCATTTACATAAACCATAAAGCATGTTTACAAACCACATTTCTTTGGTTCAGTTTATCCATCGTGCTAAAGTTATTATTTCCTGTTGCATTAAAAACTATGATTTGGTGATAATAGCAATAGCAACTAAACTTATATACCGCTTCGAAGTGCTTTACTGCCCTCTCTAAGCGGTTTACAGGGTCAGCCTATTGCCCCCAACAATCTGGGTCCTCGTTTTACCCACCTCTGAAGGATGGAAAGAACCCTTGAACCCTTGGTGAGATTTGAACTGCCAAATTGCAGGCAGCCGGCAGTCAAATCTCTGGTGTCTTTGGGCCAATAACGTCTCTCCTGATTAAATAGGATTATTGCGATGGGGAAAAAATGAGGGTATATGAAAACTGCATATGTTATTTTGATTTCCATGGAAAGGTATAAATACAATAAAGCTGGTGTTTTCAGCCTGGGGTGGTCGTGGAAAAGAACGTATCTTCAATACATAAATATTAAATGTTCTGTATTCTTTTTGCCTATCTCGTTATCATCTATCTATCTTTATCATCTATCTATCTATATCTATCTATCTATCTATCTATCTATCTATCTATCTATCTATCTATCTATCTATCTATCTATCTATCAACCATCTATCTATCTATCTATCTATCTATCTATCTATCTATCTATCTATTCCCAGTCAAACTTACAGTTCTTGGATAATGTAGAATTCCTTCCTCGTTTCAAATGTGTCAATCAGTTGTAAGATATTGGGGTGATTGACCCTGGAAGAAAAATGCAGAGAGACCTCAGTTTTTTCCCCTCTTCCCAGTCATAATTATTCTGCCTGTCATCAACTTACCTGTCCTGTGATATTCTCCCTCCGTCTCCTCCCCTGCTGAGATCTTTCTTGCGTTGCCTATTTCCCTATGGCCTGGCTCTGTTGTTTGCCCCCCAGAGTTCATTTCTACAGAGACCCAAGTCAGCAGAAATCTCAACCCGCCCCAGGGCTAGCTCAATAATTCATACCTGGCCTTTAAAACAGTAAAGAAACTTAAAACAATTCTTGTGATGCCAGCAGGTCGGGAAATAAAAGGTGCATTTTTTTTAAAAAAAAAAGAAAAAGCAGCATTAGCTACAATGAATGATGGGGACAGAGAAGGGAATGTTAATTCTCTCTCTGAGGATGTGAACCTCGTTCTTCCTTGTCATTGCTTTACTTTTTCCTTGCTTACGTAACAGCTCTTGGACTCGAAGCACTCGAGATGAATTTAAAGCAAAAAATTGACCTGTTTTTTTTTAAAACCACTGGAAATACCACCTTTTTAACATTCTGAAAACAAGTTAAAAGTAGACACACACCCTCCCCATCTGAGGACATTTATCTTCAGCATGTGGTTTGTGATTTTATTGAAGGTTGTTTTTTGCTGTTGCGTGCTGTCCAATATTTTTGCAATTGGAGGAGAATATTGGCATTGTTAAGGAATGGAATCTAAGGTGGTATTCAGCTGGCTCGCCCGAACTGGTAGTGGAAATCGTGGGTGGGCCTACCCACTCACCCCAGCTCTATGCTGTCCTATTTAGGCATGATTTCACTCCGCGCACATGCATGCAGGGTGCACGCACGATCAAAGCGCATGTGCGTAAGGCCGAGAGCAAGCATGGATGGGTGCATTCACATTTGTGAACCAGTAGGGAAAGTTAAGTGACTACTATCATGGAATGGAGTGGAATGGAGAATTTTGCTGTAATTATGCTTCAGTTGTTTATGTGCTATTTAAAAAGAACAGAACAGGAATATTTCCCAAATAATTTGGCAGCTAGTAACCTTGCTATTGTTAAGACTATCATTAAAATGTCTTAAACCTGTTGGCATTATTTAAGAAAAATAAAGAAAGAAAAACTAAGAAGCCTTCGGAGTAATTATCTTAACTGTTCTAGCACAAGACTCTTTTGGACGGAGAGAACGGATATTGCTCCTCTTCCAGTTTAGGAGTGACAACCCTGAGTAATCCTGACACCGTTTTAGCCTTTGCTTTCCACATCCTCCCTAGTTCCTCCTTCAGGCCCTGGTACTTCTCCAGCTTTCATGCTCCTTCCTGATGCCTACAAAGATTCTCAATCATCCAGGCAGAGGTGGGTTCCTACCAGTTCGCACCTATTCGGTAGAACCAGTTCGTCAAATCTACCGAACCGGTTAGAAG